TTTTTTTTTTTTTTTTGGTGCATCCATAACAGTGAGAGCTGCTACTTATGCAAGTTAATTTGAACTCAGCTGATCCTCTCTTTCTTTCTCTGTCTCTTCCTCTTTGTGATAACAGGCCAGCTTACCCCTTCACAGCAATGTCATCAACAGGGGATAATTCAGGAGCTAATTTTATGGGTGCTCAAGACCGGGTGAAATGCACAGATCATATGTGCCCTATTCGAGTTCATTGGCATGTCAAGACCAGCTATGTAGATCACTGGAGAATTAAACTTACAATTACTAACTACAACTATCAGAGGAACTTCTCAAACTGGAATGTACTGGTCCAGCACCCTGGTCTCTCCATGAATCCAATAACATATAGTTTCAACAGCACATTGCTTCAGCCTGGCTTTAGAGGTACTTACTCTATTTCATATCTGTTGTTCAATAACGTGGGAAGTACATAGAAGAAATGTTGAACATAATCACTTGCTTGTGTAGATTAATCTTTAGTAGAAAGGATAATGTAACTTTAACTGTTACAATCCAATGAAGTGACCCAATAAACCCTTACAACTCTTTTCAACTCTCTCAAATGGTGAAGGGCCTATCCGAACCTAAAAATCTCGTGTGAGAAAGTTGGGAAAAGAGTTGGGTCCGAAACTAGACTGTCTGGCCACATAAGCTCGTGAATTTGTATGTTCCATTAGGTTAATTGTATATGTGATCGTGATTCACAGTCTTACAACATAAACACATGTGTCCGGGTAGTCTAGCAACAGTACAAGTCTGAAATGGAACAATACCCTTTATTCTATTACCACTGTGATTAAATAAGTTCTAGTTTCTCAAACATTGGAAACTGTTGCAGATGCAGTTGCCCTCTTCTGGGGTATAGCCTTTGTTAATGAAGAGCTGATTGCTACTGATGAGGATGGAGTGGGTTCAGTGTCAACAGAGATACTTTTGGAAAAAGACTCAGAATCGTTCACATTCAAAAATGGATGGGCTTTCCCTAGAAGGGTATATTTCAATGGAGAAAACTGTGAGATGCCCTTACCAGACACTTTCCCAATGTTACCAAATGGCACCTCCAAAACACAACCACCAACACATTGGCTCTTCCTTCTTCTCATCTTTTTTATTTCCCAAACCCTACTTTTACATGCCCCTTTGAATTTGAAATCTGATCAACTCACCCCACAAGCTTGCTTTGAGTGTTTTCCCCACAATTTTTAAGCCATTTTATTCCCCTGTGGTCTTGATGGTTCTTATTGAGTACTAATTATTAACTTTCTAAATACAATGTTTGCACAGGATATACATGAATTGCCAAAAAAAAAAAAATCTTTTTTTTTGGGCAGATGTACAATAATTATGTAACTGTTTGATGCGAATTGATGTTGATAATTACAATGTTGATCATACTTATTTGTCATCATCTGTTGAAAACTTGGTCTTTATTTTACTCCATATGATCTAATTAGTGTCTACCTCAGCTAGTCTTTTTCCCTTCATTATCAAAGACCTGTACCATATCAAATTTGCTTATGTGTGTAAATTATCATAATATCACTTTGGGAACTTCTCATACAAAAATTTCGTCACACCGACACTCTCGTTAAAGATCATTTGCCACTCAAATTATAAGCTCCCGCAATTTAGATTGCCACTCAAACTATATATGATATTATGGTTGACTTGTAAATCGAATGTTCTACATTTGTAAAGCAGTATTTGATCCCATCATGAAACATGGCTTGTTGTCTTAATTTGTTTGATCAACAAACCAAGCAGCCCACAAAGAAACATCCCTGAAAAGTTGAAACCGTGCGGATTAGAACACGTGGACCAATGCCCTCTAATCATAGATCAGCGTCAGCAATCCACGGTCAGCGATCCAATTCGATGCATCGGCATCTACCTCATTAATTACGGAATTGTCCTCACCCTCTACCTCGTCTTCTCGAGTCTCTCAGCCGTAAAACAAAGTCACACTCTTTGATTCGGAACTTAAATTCTGTTTGGTTGGCAAGAAAAAGAATCGGAGAGAAAACTAAGGAAAATAATCCAGAAAGAAAAAATTATGTCTCCTCACGGCGACAAATCGGACGCTGCAGAGGAAGCTTTGGTTGCTGAAACTGAGAAGCGCCCCATTTCCACCATCCTCATCGTGATCGGTACTTTTTCTCTTTTTATTTTCCAATTTTGATATTTCCACTCTCTCTTTTTCAGATATTATTACGATGTTTTTGAATAAAAATAGTGATATTTCCAAGTAACTTCACAGCTATGCAGACTGAAGCTCTTCCTGTGGTGAACAAGTTCAACCTCACAGAGGACCCTGACTCCGTGTGAGTTCATCTTCTTCTTTCATCCTCAAGCTTGAATCTTTTTATGTGCTACTTTCAATTTTTGGAAAATGGTTCTCTTTTTTTGTTTTTTTTTTGTTTGTGAAATTGCCCCCATTACCAAACACGACCTTGGTTCAAAGTTCTTGCTTTGCAAACTATATTCTACGTCTTAGCTGTGGCTGGACATGGCCTTGTTGTGCCCAATACACATGTTTTGTTGTGGCATGCTCTTTGTGATTGTTACATTTTTTTTTTGTTTCCTTCCATAGGCTATCATCCTGTGTGCAAATATGGTTTATTTCTTTGAAATGTGGAGATCATCGTTTAGAATTTTGAGCATTATATATCGGTTCAAAGATTTTAATTACTCAGTTGGTTTCAATTTTTTGATCTGTCAATGTATGAATGATGCAGGTTCCCAAAAGGGGTCCCTTGGGTCCGGTATCATGGGTTTTACAAAGATCTTCATATTAATTTAGTTTGGCCTGGAAAAGATTCATCTTTAGGTGAGTCTTTGACTTTCATGGGTTTTGATTTCTCTTGTCAGGAGATACAGAAATAATTGTTATTATACTTCCCTTCATCGTCTATGACCTTGTCATATCTCACCAGGACATTATTGAAAGGGTTTACATGGTTATCAGACTTAAATGTGATATAGGATCTTTAAGATTCTAGAACTAGGCTGCATGAACTTAAGTATATTTGTGGCTGGTTTAGTGTAAAAGGTTTGAACTTTTCTGTTTCAATGGGTATAAAAAAGAATAGGCTTTCAGTATGCTAGGGATGGAAAACCTTGTGTTTGAATTGCCACTCCTCCTTCAAAAGTCTCATATGTTATGGTTGTTTCTTCCATTTGGTCACTATTGTTTAATTAGAGCACAAAAAAAGTGGTTTTTGTTCCATTGTCGTGTACCTCATCCTCAAATTTTCTTTCAGGAGTTGATTGTGTAGGCACAGTTTCTGCGTCTCTTGTGACCTATGCTGCCATTCAAGCGTTACAGCCAGACCTAATTATCAATGCAGGCACTGCCGGTGGCTTTAAGGTATTACCAACTTTTCTCTTGTTCTTGTACAAGAAGAGTTCAGCTCCGTTTTCATTATTCTCTCTCATTTGAATATTAATTGGAGAAGTTGTTAGTATAAGGAAAATGTGGAATCCTCTTCTTACAAAGGACAGTGAAAAGTTTGAGGATTGAACTATTGCATTGCAGGGACCATGATATTAATAAGGAACTATTTATGTACACATATGAACTACTATTTATGTATGCGTTCTTGTGCACGCACACACACACATGAACTAATTGAGTATGAAGTATATGGACGTGCAGATGTGTGAAGCATCTTGACATATTGCGTATAACTAATAAATGTATATTTTCAGGCCAAAGGAGCGGGCATCGGTGATGTGTATCTCGCATGTGATGTTGCTTACCATGATAGAAGGATACCTATTCCTGTGAGTGTTCCTTTGTCTTTCCATTGAAGTACGTTTCATGCTTGGTCTACAATTTATTGGAAGATCTTAACAGTTTAGCCATACCCCTTCTGATACTACAAACATAGAATTGAAAGTTGACGCCACTAGAAGCCTTAATCAAACTTTATATCCTAAACCAATAATAAATCTCTCAACACTGTTACGACTCACTTGAAGATACAATATATTTTGCTAGCTGATGGAAATAATGTTTCTTTAAGAACCACTTTCCTGCTCCCTGCTTCCTGCTTCTGCTTAGAAAATTTCTAATCAATTATTCTCTATCTTGTATGTCTTCTACAGGTGTTTGATCTATATGGAGTTGGTTTACGACAAGCCTGTGTATCACCCAATCTTCAAAAGGAACTTAACCTAAAGGTAATTATCATGCAGCAAAATGCTTGGACTTATTTAAACACTGAAACCCTTCTTAAATTGAATAGCGTCCGAACCATTTGTTTTTTTTTTTTTTTTGGTGCATCCATAACAGTGAGAGCTGCTACTTATGCAAGTTAATTTGAACTCAGCTGATCCTCTCTTTCTTTCTCTGTCTCTTCCTCTTTGTGATAACAGGCCAGCTTACCCCTTCACAGCAATGTCATCAACAGGGGATAATTCAGGAGCTAATTTTATGGGTGCTCAAGACCGGGTGAAATGCACAGATCATATGTGCCCTATTCGAGTTCATTGGCATGTCAAGACCAGCTATGTAGATCACTGGAGAATTAAACTTACAATTACTAACTACAACTATCAGAGGAACTTCTCAAACTGGAATGTACTGGTCCAGCACCCTGGTCTCTCCATGAATCCAATAACATATAGTTTCAACAGCACATTGCTTCAGCCTGGCTTTAGAGGTACTTACTCTATTTCATATCTGTTGTTCAATAACGTGGGAAGTACATAGAAGAAATGTTGAACATAATCACTTGCTTGTGTAGATTAATCTTTAGTAGAAAGGATAATGTAACTTTAACTGTTACAATCCAATGAAGTGACCCAATAAACCCTTACAACTCTTTTCAACTCTCTCAAATGGTGAAGGGCCTATCCGAACCTAAAAATCTCGTGTGAGAAAGTTGGGAAAAGAGTTGGGTCCGAAACTAGACTGTCTGGCCACATAAGCTCGTGAATTTGTATGTTCCATTAGGTTAATTGTATATGTGATCGTGATTCACAGTCTTACAACATAAACACATGTGTCCGGGTAGTCTAGCAACAGTACAAGTCTGAAATGGAACAATACCCTTTATTCTATTACCACTGTGATTAAATAAGTTCTAGTTTCTCAAACATTGGAAACTGTTGCAGATGCAGTTGCCCTCTTCTGGGGTATAGCCTTTGTTAATGAAGAGCTGATTGCTACTGATGAGGATGGAGTGGGTTCAGTGTCAACAGAGATACTTTTGGAAAAAGACTCAGAATCGTTCACATTCAAAAATGGATGGGCTTTCCCTAGAAGGGTATATTTCAATGGAGAAAACTGTGAGATGCCCTTACCAGACACTTTCCCAATGTTACCAAATGGCACCTCCAAAACACAACCACCAACACATTGGCTCTTCCTTCTTCTCATCTTTTTTATTTCCCAAACCCTACTTTTACATGCCCCTTTGAATTTGAAATCTGATCAACTCACCCCACAAGCTTGCTTTGAGTGTTTTCCCCACAATTTTTAAGCCATTTTATTCCCCTGTGGTCTTGATGGTTCTTATTGAGTACTAATTATTAACTTTCTAAATACAATGTTTGCACAGGATATACATGAATTGCCAAAAAAAAAAAAATCTTTTTTTTTGGGCAGATGTACAATAATTATGTAACTGTTTGATGCGAATTGATGTTGATAATTACAATGTTGATCATACTTATTTGTCATCATCTGTTGAAAACTTGGTCTTTATTTTACTCCATATGATCTAATTAGTGTCTACCTCAGCTAGTCTTTTTCCCTTCATTATCAAAGACCTGTACCATATCAAATTTGCTTATGTGTGTAAATTATCATAATATCACTTTGGGAACTTCTCATACAAAAATTTCGTCACACCGACACTCTCGTTAAAGATCATTTGCCACTCAAATTATAAGCTCCCGCAATTTAGATTGCCACTCAAACTATATATGATATTATGGTTGACTTGTAAATCGAATGTTCTACATTTGTAAAGCAGTATTTGATCCCATCATGAAACATGGCTTGTTGTCTTAATTTGTTTGATCAACAAACCAAGCAGCCCACAAAGAAACATCCCTGAAAAGTTGAAACCGTGCGGATTAGAACACGTGGACCAATGCCCTCTAATCATAGATCAGCGTCAGCAATCCACGGTCAGCGATCCAATTCGATGCATCGGCATCTACCTCATTAATTACGGAATTGTCCTCACCCTCTACCTCGTCTTCTCGAGTCTCTCAGCCGTAAAACAAAGTCACACTCTTTGATTCAGAACTTAAATTCTGTTTGGTTGGCAAGAAAAAGAATCGGAGAGAAAACTAAGGAAAATAATCCAGAAAGAAAAAATTATGTCTCCTCACGGCGACAAATCGGACGCTGCAGAGGAAGCTTTGGTTGCTGAAACTGAGAAGCGCCCCATTTCCACCATCCTCATCGTGATCGGTACTTTTTCTCTTTTTATTTTCCAATTTTGATATTTCCACTCTCTCTTTTTCAGATATTATTACGATGTTTTTGAATAAAAATAGTGATATTTCCAAGTAACTTCACAGCTATGCAGACTGAAGCTCTTCCTGTGGTGAACAAGTTCAACCTCACAGAGGACCCTGACTCCGTGTGAGTTCATCTTCTTCTTTCATCCTCAAGCTTGAATCTTTTTATGTGCTACTTTCAATTTTTGGAAAATGGTTCTCTTTTTTTGTTTTTTTTTTGTTTGTGAAATTGCCCCCATTACCAAACACGACCTTGGTTCAAAGTTCTTGCTTTGCAAACTATATTCTACGTCTTAGCTGTGGCTGGACATGGCCTTGTTGTGCCCAATACACATGTTTTGTTGTGGCATGCTCTTCGTGATTGTTACATTTTTTTTTTGTTTCCTTCCATAGGCTATCATCCTGTGTGCAAATATGGTTTATTTCTTTGAAATGTGGAGATCATCGTTTAGAATTTTGAGCATTATATATCGGTTCAAAGATTTTAATTACTCAGTTGGTTTCAATTTTTTGATCTGTCAATGTATGAATGATGCAGGTTCCCAAAAGGGGTCCCTTGGGTCCGGTATCATGGGTTTTACAAAGATCTTCATATTAATTTAGTTTGGCCTGGAAAAGATTCATCTTTAGGTGAGTCTTTGACTTTCATGGGTTTTGATTTCTCTTGTCAGGAGATACAGAAATAATTGTTATTATACTTCCCTTCATCGTCTATGACCTTGTCATATCTCACCAGGACATTATTGAAAGGGTTTACATGGTTATCAGACTTAAATGTGATATAGGATCTTTAAGATTCTAGAACTAGGCTGCATGAACTTAAGTATATTTGTGGCTGGTTTAGTGTAAAAGGTTTGAACTTTTCTGTTTCAATGGGTATAAAAAAGAATAGGCTTTCAGTATGCTAGGGATGGAAAACCTTGTGTTTGAATTGCCACTCCTCCTTCAAAAGTCTCATATGTTATGGTTGTTTCTTCCATTTGGTCACTATTGTTTAATTAGAGCACAAAAAAAGTGGTTTTTGTTCCATTGTCGTGTACCTCATCCTCAAATTTTCTTTCAGGAGTTGATTGTGTAGGCACAGTTTCTGCGTCTCTTGTGACCTATGCTGCCATTCAAGCGTTACAGCCAGACCTAATTATCAATGCAGGCACTGCCGGTGGCTTTAAGGTATTACCAACTTTTCTCTTGTTCTTGTACAAGAAGAGTTCAGCTCCGTTTTCATTATTCTCTCTCATTTGAATATTAATTGGAGAAGTTGTTAGTATAAGGAAAATGTGGAATCCTCTTCTTACAAAGGACAGTGAAAAGTTTGAGGATTGAACTATTGCATTGCAGGGACCATGATATTAATAAGGAACTATTTATGTACACATATGAACTACAAATTATGTATGCGTTCTTGTGCACGCACACACACACACGAACTAATTGAGTATGAAGTATGTGGACGTGCAGATGTGTGAAGCATCTTGACATATTGCGTATAACTAATTAATGTATATTTTCAGGCCAAAGGAGCAGGCATCGGTGATGTGTATCTCGCATGTGATGTTGCTTACCATGATAGAAGGATACCCATTCCTGTGAGTGTTCCTTTGTCTTTCCATTGAAGTACGTTTCATGCTTGGTCTACAATTTATTGGAAGATCTTAACAGTTTAGCCATACCCCTTCTGATACTACAAACATAGAATTGAAAGTTGACGCCACTAGAAGCCTTAATCAAACTTTATATCCTAAACCAATAATAAATCTCTCAACACTGTTACGACTCACTTGAAGATACAATATATTTTGCTAGCTGATGGAAATAATGTTTCTTTAAGAACCACTTTCCTGCTTCCGCTTAGAAAATTTCTAATCAATTATTCTCTATCTTGTATGTCTTCTACAGGTGTTTGATCTATATGGAGTTGGTTTACGACAAGCCTGTGTATCACCCAATCTTCAAAAGGAACTTAACCTAAAGGTAATTATCATGCGGCAAAATGCTTGGACTTATTTAAACACTGAAACCCTTCTTAAATTGAATAGCGTCCGAACCATTTGATATATTGTTGGTCACTTTTAAATTTTAAAATTGGAGTTCTCCATTATCTAGACCAATGCACTTAGGCATGAGTGTGTAACCTATGATACGGATGTGCATTACTATGAGACTTGGGTTTCCTTTTCTTTGTATTTGATAGCTTCGCAAGTATTGGCAATGTCAGTCATTTATGGTTTCCCTCATGCTTCAGATTGGTAAACTGTCTACCGGCAACTCTCTAGATATGTCCCCACAGGATGAAGCATCGATCGTTGCAAATGATGCTACAATTAAAGACATGGAGGTAACCTTAGCATTTTGATCAGAGTATCCCTGCTTTTTCCTGCAAAGAGTATTGAACCTATTTGCATCTCTTAGACCTAATATTGGATAGCTGCAAATTTGGTCCTCTTTATGCATTGCCCAACAGTCATTTTTACTTTTTACTTCTATTGAAGCAAATTTCTTTTGCTGAATTTTTTTGGCTTTCAGGGTGCTGCTGTTGCCTATGTGGCAGATCTGTTGAAAGTCCCAATCATATTTGTTAAAGCTGTGACTGATGTAGTAGATGGTGAAAAACCAACTGCAGAAGAATTCTTGCAAAATTTGTCAGCAGTAACTGCTGCTCTTGAAGAGAAGGTCACCCAAGTTATCGAGTTTATTAACGGAAAGTGCCTCTCTGACCTTTGAAGCATTGCATCCAAACTTAATGAAACATTTATGTGATATTAGCATGTACCTGGACCGCGGTTGACTGGATATCTACAGATTTTGGTAATACCTTATTTGAAAGGTCCAACAGCAACAGTTCATAGTTTGTGTAACTATTTTTAAACAGTATCTGGTGGTTTAATCACATGTTCTCTTTTGTAATTTAAAATGTTTTGTGATAATGTGTCGATAACATTCTCGCCAATCAAATATATCTACATGTTATCAATACATTTTCGACAATGCACATTCGCTCTTTAAAGAACACGCACAGAGAATTTCTAGTTTGTTCCCTTTCAAAAACTCAATGCAAGGAATAACGGAATAATTTTCTCATATGCTTTTTCAGTATCCTAGCGGCTTGCTATTATACAGTTATATTTAGAGAGTATAAGTAGAATATTCCTATGGATCGTATTGAAAGACATCATGTCAACCTTGGAGCATACTCCATACTCCATAGTTGTACTCAATGACCCTACTGAGCATGTGAGTGTGACCCCAAGGAGAGCAAAGAGAATGGACCAAAAATAAAGATTAAAATTAATTTTAAATATTATAGTTTTTAGTTTTCAAAGAAAAGTTTTAAAAGTGAGTGAGGACAGTATGAATTGATATATGAAATTTTCAGCAGAAATAAAAATATATACATTAATCAAACTCTTATTTATTTACAAGGAACTTAATATAAACAAAAATGATTGGCACCAAACAATATGATGTGGCATTTGGCTGATGTGTCGTACTACGGACTTGCCATGTGGCACTGAAGAGTTCAATGAAGGACACGTGGCAAGGGTAGAGTAAGAATACATTGACACATAAGCTCCAAGTACACTTGGCTGCTTGGCACCAAACCAAAGGCCTCTTCTTCTCTCTCTAGCCTCTCAGCAGTAAAACCAAGTCACAGACTCCCACGCTTCTCTCTTGGTTTGATTGCGAGGGAGAGCATAACATTTTGTGTTTGGTTGGAAAGAAAACAGAAAACCCAGAGAGAAATCAAAAGGAAAACAATAAAATAAAATGGCTCCTCATGGCGACAAATCGGACGCTGCAGAGGAAACCATGGTTGCTGAAGCTGAGAAGCGCCCCATTTCCACCATCCTCATCGTAATGGGTACGTTTTTTTTTCTTCCCATTTTGATATTTCCACTCTCACTAGTTTATAAATTCCATTCTTCTTCAGCTACTATGACTAGTTTTCTTGTATAAAGTAGTGATCTTTGCAAGTGACTTAACAGCTATGCAGAGTGAAGCTCTTCCTGTGGTGAACAAGCTTAACCTCTCAGAGGATCTTGAGTCTGTGTGAGTTCATCTTCATTCATTTTCAGTTTGTAATCACTTTATCTGACTTTGATTAGCAAAGTAACACATCAAATAGGAAATGCCCTCATTAATTACCAAACACAATCTTTAGCTGAAAGTACTTGCATTGCAAACTATACACCACATGTTTAATTTAATTTTTAGAATTATAAGAGCATTGTAGGATCTGCTTAAAAAGTTTAATTACTTGGGTGGTTTTACTTTGTTTGATATGTCAATGTGTTAACAATGCAGATTCCCGAAAGGGGTGCCTTGGGTCCGGTATCGTGGTTTTTACAAGGATCTTAACATTAATCTAGTTTGGCCTGGAAAAGATTCATCTTTAGGTGAGTTTTGAGTGTTCTGAGTTTGGATTTTTCTTATCAGTTCAGTAAATTTTGAAATAATTGATTATTTGTTTCGGCTATTGCAAAATCACTCCCTCAAAAGCATAATATGTTATGGTTGTTTTTTTCCCTTTTGATCTATTTTAATCAGACATAAAAAAAAATGCAGTTGCTTTGTTTTAATGTTACCAATTTTTCTTTCAGGGGTTGATTGTGTAGGCACGGTTCCTGCATCTCTTGTGACCTATGCTTCCATTCAAGCATTGCAGCCAGACCTAATTATCAATGCAGGCACTGCTGGTGGCTTAAAGGTATTTTGTATTTCTACCAACTTTGCTCTTCTTCTTATAATAGAATTTCATTTCTGTCCCTCTGTGAGATGTTAATTGGAGAATCTGCATTACTGAAAAATTAGGATCCTCTTCTTGGAATGGATATTGAAAAGATTGAAGATTCAAATAGTGAATTGTATATAAATGAAACAAATGCACAAATGGACTTGCACACAAAACATTTATGTGTAAAGTATGTTGAGATGTAAAGACATTGTGTGAAGCATCTGGCATTAATTATTATGTATGACTGATTAATCGATGTTTTCAGGCCAAAGGAGCATGCATTGGTGATGCGTATGTCGCATCTGATGTTGCTTTCTGTGATAGAAGGATACCTATTCCTGTGAGTGCTCCGTAGTTTCTTCATTCAAGCACTTGTCAATGTTTTCATGCTTGATTGATTGGATATATAGCCTACGGAACTTGTTTTCTTAATTGGATAATAGGAATTCCTGTTCGCAATATTTGCTGATAATGACCAATCCTTTATCAAATATGCTGCGGCAGAGGTTCCAAAACAATTGCATCTTTCTCCAGTGTCTTTAGTCATTGTTGAATGTAAATACCATGAACTTTGCTAGATCTGGTAGGGAGAATTGAACGTTTGTTGCTATTACGTGGCCTAGAATGGTTAAGAACATCAGACGTTGGAATGGAATGGATTAAAATACTCATTATTCATTAGAAGATAAACACTTGCCAATACCCCTTCATTCTTTTGATATCTACATTTCTGATACTCCAAACATATGTGATTACTTGGAAATTTTTTACTCAATATTTATCTGTGGCGTGTCTGTCTTCTACAGGTTTTTGATCTATATGGACTTGGCTTGCGACAAGCCTTCTCGACACCCAATCTTCAAAAGGAACTTAACCTAAAGGTAATTACCGTGCAGCAAAATTCTTGGACTCGGAAGCTTCCAAATCATTTGATAAATTCTGATCAGTAAAATTTTTTAATTTGGAGTTGTCCGTTATCTAGAGCAAATGCAGTTAGGCATCTGTCTGTAATTTATGGTTGAGATTTGCATTATCATGATTCATGATACTTGGCTTTCATTTTCTTTCTATTTGATAGCGTCACAGTTATCCACAACGGTATTTATAGTTTCCCGCATGCTACAGGTTGGCAAACTGTCTACTGGTGACTCTCTACATATGTCCACACAGGATGAAGCATCAATGGTTGCGAATGACGCTGTAGTTAAAGACATGGAGGTAACCTTGTAACTAAATCATAGCTTTCTTCGTAGCATATAAGATAAGGGTATCCCTACTTAGTGCTGTTGTATTCTACAGTCATTTTTAAATTGCATTAAAGCTTTTTTTTTTTCCTTCTTAAAAACAAAAATTGGATTTCAGGCTGCAGCTGTTGCCTACGTGGCAGATCTGTTGAAAGTACCCTCAGTATTTCTTAAAGTTGTAATTGATATAAAAGATGGTGAGGAAACAACTGCAGAAGAATCTTTGCAAAGCTTCGCAGCTCTTGAACGTGCGGTCACCCAAGTTATTGATTTTATTAATGGAAAGTGCCTTTCAGATCTTTGATGCATTTCATTGAAACCTATTATAGTGATGAAATTTGACATGAAAAAAATGTCCCCTGGACTGCAATTATTAGATATCTGCAGATTTTGGTAAGTTGTTATTCAACAGAAACAGTTCGTAGTTGTGTCACTATATATTATAAACTCTATTCTGCTGACTTAATAACAAGTTCTCTTCTGCTCTTTTATAAGTTAGGCGTATTCTTGGTGAACCGTCTGTTACCTGCTCGGAAGCAGTTTGAAGGTTTAATCCTTGTTTAGATAGTCATTTTCTGAGTTCTGGTTGTCTGAGGCTGTTCTTCCACAGTACAATGTGACTTGAATAAGCTCTGTTGTCTTAACAATTCCTGGCTTCTGAAAATTAAAAATCAAAACTAACTTCAAATGGATTTTTAGTTTTAAGAACAAAAGTATCAAAATTTAACAGCAAATATTGACCTGAAATATTCTGCTTAACCAAATTGGTCATTGGTCCTTGAGGCTAGTCGATGTTTTTCAGCTTCACACTATGCTACATGTGTGGTGACCAAAAACAAAATGTTACATGTGTAGCTTTTGTATTTGTAACATGTATTGCAGACATTCAGACATGGAGGGGTCATGCAGATTCAATTTTAATTACTTCTCTCAGCCAAAAGGAGATGCCAAACCAGTGGGTTTTAGTTTTATGATTCTGTGAACAGAATATAAGTGATCTCGGGACCAAAAGTATAGATAGAGAAAATAAATATTTGATTTCAAATGAAAAACACCACCAGTGCAACAAATCTACATGAACAGCTTGGTTCTCAACCCCAGACCAACCCTTTATCTGCATCCTTAAACGTAGTCTACATGAACGCCTTACTTCTCAACTAAACCACTAACCTATGCATAAGAATTGCACACCGCATGATGTTTCTCCCTATATGAATATGTTTAACACCATATGTCCCTTGAGTTTAATATAATGTCATAAGTATGCCGTGGAACTGTATATATATTAGCAGCCCAATAGTTGTTTTACTGCAAGGTTCAGAAGTTACAAGACCTCTTATGCTAGAGACATATCACCAAGTGTTTTGAAAGAGAGACCAGAGAACTACTAGACATGGGGAGTGAGCATGTTGGGCGGGGAGGTTCCATAATGAAGGCCAACGGTGGCAAAGCGACGATTTTGGCTCTTGGCAAGGCCTTCCCTCATCAGCTTGTCATGCAGGATTTTCTGGTTGATGGGTATTTCAGAGATACCAACTGTGATGATCCTGAACTTAAGCAGAAGCTGGCTCGACTCTGTAAGTCCATCAACTAAAGTTCTTTTTTATTTTTCTATTTACAACATTGACACACCAATAATTGCGCAAAGCCATTAACCAAAATATGATCATGCATTGTAAAATCAAGCTACTACACATATAGCCTGCGCATGTGGATCTTGTGAAGGGAAATATTCTCTTGCCAAACCTTTTATCTGTATCATTAATCAGGTGAATTTTTTTTGGAACGTATGATCTATAGTAACAGTCTAACAACATAACATACTAGATATCTTGATAGAGCATAGTGTCCTATGTAATTTAAAGGCAACATTATATGGTTTTAGAAATTCTTATATGGCAATTCACAGGCAAGACAACAACAGTCAAAACTAGGTATGTTGTCATGTCAGATGAGATTCTAGAGAAGTACCCAGAGCTTACAACTGAAGGCACACCCACTATAAAGCAAAGACTGCATATTTGTAACGAAGCTGTAACACAGATGGCAATTGAAGCTTCACGAGCTTGCATCAAGAACTGGGGGAGACCTACTTCAGATATAACCCACTTAGTCTATGTCTCATCCAGTGAAGCTCGATTACCCGGTGGTGACGTTTACCTAGCAAAAGGACTTGGCCTCCGTCCCGAGACTCAAAGGGTCTTGCTTTACTTCTCAGGCTGCTCTGGTGGTGTGGCTGGCCTTCGTGTTGCCAAGGACATTGCTGAGAACAATCCAGGAAGCAGAGTTCTACTTGCTACTTCTGAAACCACTATTATTGGCTACAAACCACCAAGTGCAAATAGACCGTATGATCTCGTTGGTGTTGCACTATTTGGGGATGGTGCTGGAGCCATGTTGATTGGCTCAGACCCTGACTTAATCTCTGAAAAGCCTCTGTTTGAGCTTCACACTGCCATACAAGAGTTCCTGCCAGACACCGAGAAGACCATTGATGGAAGGGTCACAGAAGAGGGGATTAGTTTCAAGCTAGCAAGAGAGCTTCCTCAGATAATTGAAGATCACATTGAAGGGTTCTGTGGGAGGTTGATGGGAGTTCTTGGATATGATAACAAGGAGTACAATAAGATGTTTTGGGCTGTTCATCCAGGAGGTCCTGCAATCTTGAACCGGTTGGAGAAGCGTCTTGATTTGTTCCCAGAGAAGTTAAATGCCAGCCGACGAGCTCTGACGGATTATGGCAATGCTAGCAGTAATACCATAGTGTATGTGCTGGAGTACATGATAGAAGAGAGCAAGAAGATCAAGAAGGAACAGCAAGGAGATGGTGAATGGGGATTGATACTGGCTTTTGGACCTGGAATTACTTTTGAGGGAATTCTAGCAAGGAACCTTGCTGTCTAAGTATAAAGCCAAATCTTAGATAGCTCACTAGAACTTTTACATCTGCTGTCATTAGGCCACATTAGGTGCGCTTATGTTTATGTAATTGTCTTTCCATTGATTTCAATTGAATATATAAGACTGAAGTTCTTAAAGTCTAACAATCCTTAAAATCAGTCCAAGTTTATTATTTTGTTTTCGTTCCAACCAAATACCCAAAATCAATTTGTGATGATTGTTGTTAACCCTCTAATCTAGAAATTCTTGCTTACAGCAGGGTTGTACACATGTGAGGTTAGATGCGAGTGTGTTGTATTCAAACCGTCCTATGCAGGAATTTTTCCCTACAATCCTTTATAGATACGAATTTTCTTGGGATTATTAGCTAAAGTGTCACAGGACAAGTGGGATTAGTAACCTTAATTTAAGGTAGGACCAAGAAAAAAGACCCAAAAGTCGGACACAAAAAATGAAACAAAGACCTAAAAATTGTGGTGGGGCCGGTGATGTAGGCACTTGGTAGAAACAGGAAAGCAGTTTGTTGTTTGATAGTGCTGTAGGAAATTGAATATTGAACCAAAGAAAAGAAGCAATGTGAATCCACTCAAGTTGGTGGGCAGATGGCAGACAAGTGCTTTACACAGTCCTGCATCCATTGTTAAATATATGCTTGAGCAAATTAACTGGATGTATAAATAAACGATTCTGTGGTAGTAAACTTTAGCAAATGTTAGCATCTAGTAAGAAAAGATGAAGCAATTCAGAAAAGTCATGTCTAAATTATAAATATAAATTAAATTCACTCCATCTCCAACTTTACAAACAACCCACTTCATTCCCAGTCATGATTTTTTTTTTTCATTAAAAGAGAGAACTAGAACCTTGTGGAGAGCAAAAAGGGGAACTTAAACAACAGTGACCAGCCACATGCCTAGCTAAGTCTTGTCTTGATGGCAGTGCGCTTGCAGATCACAGCAGAACTGGAGTGAACTCATACAACTCCAGAAGGGAGACGGAGGACTAGCTGCCCTCCAAAAACACTGCCAAACAAAAACATCCATAATAGGTAAAGGTTGAATGAAATAAAATATACATTTGGGGGAAAATAATTGTGATTCAAGTAAACTTGGCAAAAAATATAATGGATTGAGGCCCAACCTTTTGACAAAGTAGTAACAGAAGTCTGCTAATATGAAAGTCTGAACAATTTCTGAAATAAGAACCATAGAAGGCCATAACCCATAGCCCAAGGCTACAAGCAAGTGTCCGCGAGTATCTAATACCTGTTGGAGCAATAGATAAAAAATTTATTAGCGGCAGAATGCAAAGAACTCATACCCTTTAACAAAACTAAAATAATCGCAGCAACATAACTTGTCTAAGACTTTGATCATTTAAGCGCCCATGTAAAGTACGACATAATTAGTACAAGTGCCAAAGCATGGACAGATGGACTACAAAAATCAAAATATGAAAAATTGTTCTATACTGTTCATCTCATCATCAAGATGCCACTTCCAAATATGACACTAAAGCAACTCATCTTGAAACATGCAGAATGACCATTTTTTAAAATGCCACAAATAAATCAATCTAAAACAAAAGCAAACATTTACAAAAATCAAACCTGGAGAACCCAATGGGCACAGCTGAGGAACCTTGCGACACCCAGTGCAAACACATAATGAGCTGTGAATGGCTCAACAATCTGAAAAGTACAAAAAGAAGATGAATCATAGGGGAAACTAGTAGTATGCAGTCAAATTCGTCAAACCCATAAAAATATAAGTTTTTCATTCTATGAAATTAGACCTTTGTGTTCTGCATGACGCGCAACTGGGGCAGTACGGAAACAGCTTCCAGATACACACAAAATGCCCAGGAAATCCTGTTCAATAAATGATGAGACGTTGATGGATGAATGAACAAAGCTAATAGAGCACATGGTACCACCTGCATCAAAAAAAAAAAGTAAGGATATTACTACTAGAAAGAAAGCAACTTCATTAATAGCAATAGCAAGCAACAATATAACTTCGGTCCAGAATAAACTTCACAATGCATCATGACTGAAAGAGGAAGTCAATCAATTTGCCCCCAATAATTGTCCAGGATGTAATAATGCAAACTGACAAGATCGCACACCCCAATAAGCATTATTTTTCTTTATCACTTTGATCAGAGACTCGAGCAACGAAAAAAGATCATCCTTTTATAATCTGTGAGAATTCTCCTTCACATACACACTCTTATTTGAAAAGAAAACAGTGATGAAGAGAGAAACTCACGACATAGTATATTGCAAAATTGTCTTTGTCCTCCATGTAACTAGACTTTAAGTTGAAGCGGATCATATAAATAACCCAGAGGGTCGTCACCAGCGTAGCTAAATCAAGCAGGGTGTGTATATCATATTCCATCACAAAACTGCAATACAATCTCACAGCTAAAAACATAGCTGTTAACTCCTGGGACTTGAGTGATAACCCTGCAAACAATTCCAATATTTCCCAATCAAAACATGAGTTTCATAGCATAAAACATATTCAACAGGTTGGTGATAAAAAATAAAAAAAAATAAAAAAAAAAGGAGGACAATTTAAAACAGAAAAGAAAAACATACCGGAGGTAAAACTTGTAAAAAATAAAAATAAAACTATAACTTTAGCCTTATTAATCTTCTTCTTTTGAAGGATAAGCTTATGAATTTCTGTTCTAACAATTATATCATCAAGCCAATAAATCCCATATTTTTCCACCGTTCATAACGATTTATCATCAACCAAACAAAACCCAATAAAGGATTTGCATGTGAAATTCCAGTCATCCTAACATTGAAGAACCCCCATTCGCCACAATAGAAAAGTTTGTACCAAAATCGAATCAACGCTTTCCAGCATTCCTAAAAATTGCTCGGAAAGCCAAACAAAACCAACAAAGGGAAAACAAACTAAAAAACCCTAAAAAGTTCAATACTTTACCAGCACAAGTCTTCTCCTTCGTGAGCTTGTAGATTAGGACCATGATTCCAATTGAGTGCACAGCCTCAGCTGCAACAAAGAGGTTATCGTGATCGTGAACGATAAATCGGAGCACGACCAGAGCCGCCATGCCCGTTACGACGGCCAGAAAGGCCTTCACTTTCGGCGGCTGGCGTCGAACCCATGTCGATACGGTGTGGATCGGCCTCTTCGGAGCCCTCATGAGGTTTTCCGTCGTTTTTCTTTCCCTTTTTTTCCTTCTCTGATTTTCTCGGGCTCTTGATTTTCCCGGAAAGTGTGATGAGGGGTAGAGAAAGTAAGGTAACTTATTAATGCGAGTAGGTAAGGAACAGCCTCTGTTAAGAGAGAGAGAGAGAGATTAGGACTGTTTTTGCAAGGAAAAACACTATTTTTACAAAGGCAAACATTTTCTTCTGTGATTTCGGGTGGGTTATCCAGGCACCCGAATTAGATATCCGGACCTGATTTTAATAAAAGAAGACGTACTACACCCTTTGCATGTCGTTTTTAGCACGCTTTTGAACTCTGATGTGTCGTTTTCACTGAACGTGAGAATGCGGCGTGTGGATTGGATGACAAGGCACCGTTCTTTTTCTTTTTCTTTTTCTTTTTTCCTTTTTTTAATTTTTTTTAGAAACAACTTTTACGTTTCGTTGCTTACCACAGACCATTGCATACGTATATACGTAATATAGTAAATAATTATAAAACTATAAGTCAAAAAAATTTCGGTATCCAACACAAGTTGGAATTTGGAAATTCTATTTCTTGTTTTGTTTTGTCCAGAATCATGTTTCAAAAAGAATTCCGCATGTCCAATAATAAATAAATAAAAACATGCATGTACAACATTTTATCACAGACGTAATTGGTTTAACCCAATAATGATTGGGAAAGTATCAACATTCTCGCCCACTCATATTATAATACGTTTATAATATATCTGATAAATACATGTATTATAAATATATTATTAATGAATAAATAAATGTATCATAAGGGGACTGTAACACCACCTAGAGGAGTATTTTTAGTTTTTTTTTTATAATTATAATGAGGATTTCTAGATTGACAACCAGAATTACCAAATAGGCAACAACCGATGATATATCACACACCAGTCAGAATACGACACCTTGACCTTGTGGAAGGTTATCTTCCCAAAATTTGGTGAACAAAATTCCTACTTTCCCAGCAGTTCTGAATGAAGGCTTTTTGGGGCTGACTTGTGCTCAAAAGACTTCCAATGAACAATAACAACTCCAACACAAAAGCAGGCAGCAAACAAATTGCTCTTTTTCATTTGTGTTTTAACCAAAATATGACTTTGGGCTTAAGTCTTTGTTAAGGGAAGGTCCCTGCATCAATCTCATCTCTTCAAGGTGGCATGACATAATATGGTTTTCATCACAAACACGCATAGATGGGGAGAGAGAGAGAGAGAGAGCTAAAAAAAAGGGTTGTGTACTAGGAAAAGACATATTACAAGCATACTACATACAAGTAGCTTATTTAAAATGAAGAAGCAAGAAGCTAATACTTCATTGTAGTTGGTCCCCTTCAACCCCACCTAACCCCTAAACCGACAACCCTTGTGCTGAGTAGGTCATAGGTTGACCAATTGAATTAGCAAGTCCACGAATTTGATCTCTTCATTGCCGGCTTCATCTGTTTGTCTTCCTCGAGCGCTATCATACCCAAATGAGACGGGTCTTCCAACAACATCTTTGCTACCAAGTACCCCGCTACTGACCAGGTCTGGAATTTACGGGCCTGCTTCCCAATGTAACGGCCAAGTTTCCCATCATAGTATTCAGGCCAATTGTCTTTCAGCAATCTGCTCTCAGCAAGTTCAATGGCACGTCGGGCAATCTGGGGCCGCCCAGTCTTGATGCATGCAGCAGTGAGAAGCCATAACAGCACTGTATCAACCACAATGACAACATGTAATTGGCAGGAAAATGAAGGAACACACTAAAAATAATTTATCATAACCGCATAATTTAATTATCATGGCGCGAAGTATAGGCAGGTAAATATGTAGAGTAATCAAGCTTTAGGCAGAGTAAAAAGACTACACTTTTTATCTCAATCCATCGCTAATAACTCATGATCAAAACCTTTCTAGTGAGAAAAATGATAACTTCTCAAAAAATTTATGGAGTAAAATAGTTATGAAACTTCCTACTGTACTTGCATCTGTTGCTCTGTCCTATAAAACCCCCATATTCTCTCATCTCGTCTGCAATTAATTTGCAGACATTCAGTCCATGCCAAGATAGCGTTGATGCTGTCTTGAAAATTTTCAAGCACTGAATTATAGGGAAAAAGAAATTTGCACCATGGATAGAGAAATGTGGACAAAGGAGTTTTCCATAATGCCATCAGTAGTTACGGTATAATTTTGTACAGAGGAGGCTATAGAGTGCAAGCATACCTGGCCAAGACCCTCCGTTGTGGTAGCTCCATCTCGTATTTTTCGGGTCGCAGCCTGTTACAATCCTCCATTCATGACTTTCTATAGCTGGATAACAAACCTTTAGTGGCATTTCTCCTGCCAATTCCTCCCATCGTGATTCTATGAGATCCATTATTGCCATGGATTGTTCGGGGGTTGCCAAGGATGAAAGAATGGCTATACAATTACCCAAGCAAAACCAACGGAAATCCATTCTGGCAGGACTGATATTCCCAATAAAGTAACCACCACGAGTTGGCATAAAATCAAAGACCCATTCTGGAAGAGAATCTGGTATCACATTGAACTTGTTGACTGCTGTATGTGAGTACTCTTCAGTTTTATATCGATATATGTCATTTAACTGCTTAAAGTCTAGCCAAAAGTAACTTCTCATGTGATAGCTCAAGGCATGAAGGCGTTTTACTATGCGCTCTACAAACTCCTTCCCCTCATCATCATGCTTAAGCAAAAGCAAAGCACATCTTAAAGCCATGAAGAAAAGAGCCTGAATTTCGATGGGGTACCCATAGACACCCTAAAAACACAAAACCAATACAAAAGTGAGCTTAAGGTATTGAAAAGATAGGCAACACATAACCAAAATATAAAAAAGCAGGGAGATTCTTGGGGTTAACATGGCAAGTAAGTGACTTAGCTCATAAGCCTTTACAACAAACCAGAGTTACAATATAATTTCGAATGCTGCACTCAGATCATGAGGAAGAAGGCACTAACTGGGAGATTCTTTTGTTTTGGCAGGCAAGGCAAGAAAATATCGACTCAAATTAGAATATGTTAGATCCAAGTTCCATCCTCTTTGATAATTAAACAAATGAGAAGGCTGACCAGGTTGACAAGAAATTCAATATTAGAGTTACTCACAGAAGGATGATTTGATTTTTCTGAATGTCGTAGACTTAAATTACTAGCTTCAAAACTAACAACTTATGCATATGCTAGTATTTCAAGGGCTTTGACCGTGGATTCGTGATATCAGGCATATATGGCCTGCTTCATACCAGGTGATAAAAAAAAAAAAACAGAAGTCAACATAATTATGAAAAGCTTACCATTCTACGATCAATCATGCAGCATCCATCAGCACAAAGAAGGGTTGGAAATGTGTCGAACCCCTCCGATAGGCATAAACTTAGAATAAGCCGCATACCCTTCTGGCATTCAGGAAGTTCCGCCAATGAAGAGTCTCCAGTGGATTTTGTGTATGCCCGAAGCAATATGATCCACCAAAATCCAGAATCAACAGGAGCAACTCTTCCTATTGCACTCTCGCCAAAATCTGCTATTAAAGTCTCACTGTTCCTGACTGGATCATGGAGTACCTTGAAACTAGCTGGCATTACTCCTTCTCCAAGCTGGAACCTATCAATCTTTTTCTCCCATGACTGAAGACGAAGAGTCTTCAAGATAAAATTTTTAACTATTTCAGGTTCACCATTCATCAGAAAAGCCAATCCACTGGGCACAAAGTCTCTGACAAACACCTTCACAGATTCATAAGAAGAAAAAATAAGAATAAAATTTGTGATTGCCAACTTCATGGAACAGAAACTCTGTATAGTTTGTTCAACATATAAAAAAATATGTCCTGCATAAAGAATATTCAAGGCAGAGCAGCACTTTAGACAGCACATATCCCACAGATTGAAACATAGTAATGGAACATTAAATTAGCAACTTAATTATAAGGCTTGGAAACTCGGGTACCCAGCCTCCCCCTGCCCCCGGGCAGACAATGTGCCAAAGCCTGTTTGTATGCATGTATCAAAAGTCCTAAGACATGTATGCATATAAACATGGTGGTCATCAGAAACGGAACATGTGGCTCCCCAATACGACTAAGGGATTGATAAGAAGGATAACACAATGCCTTTCAAATTTGTTTACCATATGGATGTGTCACAGTACATCTTGCCTTCGTCGCAAAAGCATCATAAATGTTCCTCATGTGTGTGAGTATTTGTAGGGTGATACTATAACCAAAAGATTGAAAACATAAACAAAATGGAGATGCACAAACAATGAAGTCTTAGGTTCTCTCTATTATTACAGATGCAAAATTCCAAGAATATGTACATCTAATAGGGCGAACAAGTACAGAAGGTCTCTACCTGATCATAGTTAAGTTTTTCTTCAGAGGTATCTGTTGCAGCAATTGTCCCAACTGGCTGACCACGGAAAAACACCAATGATCGCCTCAAAGTTTCCCAAGCTTCAGCAACCATTGGATGTGGCTCAAAGCCAGTCAGTGACCTAGGGGTGCCAATGAGTGACCTTCTACTGGGCGAAAATACATATTCAGGATGGTCAAAAAATCTGGAAGAGATATCAGCATTTCTTGATGAGTGACGTGGGGACAATGCAACAGATAGTTCACTGAGTGACCTCTCATCAAATGATCGTTTTCTCTCCATATTCAGAAGGCTTGGTCTGTCTAATAACTTTGAAAAATCAATTTCTTCAATTTCTGCCACACTACATAAGGAATCAATATGCCTTATATTTCCATTCTGAGACATGTCTGAATTGGGTATTGACATTTCCACAGATTTCAGCACTTGACACTGACCCAGTGGTTAGTATAGTGCTCAACACCCTGCAATTCAACCACCAGATTTGAACCATTCATCATCTGCAAAAAGGCAGTAATCATCTATTTCCA